AAAGCTAATTATGGTTATGTTAAATTATTAGTGATGATGCTGAGGATATAAACCTTTATGTGACACTAATCATATGCCAGGAAGCTCTTCTGATTTCTTCATATGTAATATGTTAATTTTCATATTGTCCCTGTGATGTATTATCCCCATTCAATGAGTGAGGAATGTAAGGTATTGAGAGGCTACGTAGATAACTGCTCAACGCCCACCAGCTAGTCTGGCAAGTCTGATACCAGAATTTATGTGCTAAACTATACTTTGCTAAGCTTAAAAAAAAACACATGATAGTAAATATTTCAAGCTTTATGAACCATATGGTTTTTGTTGTAGCAATTTATCTCTGCATTGTGGCTTGAAATCAGTCATAGCCAGTGTGAAGAAATGAGTATGGCTGTATTCCAGAAAAACTTAAGTTGTGAAAACAGGATATAGTCAGAAATTGGCATGATGGTTGTAGATTCCCTAAACCAATAAGTCTTTGAGAATTTGTTTCTCACATTTTTCCTATACTTTCTTCAACTCCTCGGTTATTTAGAAGTAACTGTTATTGTTAATTTTAACATATTTGGGCAATTTTCTGAATAACTTCCTTGTTAATTTCTTATTTAATTCTGTTATTGTCAGGGAACATACTCTATATTTATTTAATTTGTGGGTCCCTATTTTATGAGCCCAATTTTTGTGATTGTGTGCTCATACCTATAATACTAGTTACTTAGGAGACTGAATTTAGGAAAATCACAGTTCCAAGCCAGTTTGGAGATAATGGCGAGACTCCATTTCAGTGGCATGTGCCTGTTAACCTAGCTAGCTACTGTAGGAAATGAAAAATAGGAAGAATGCCATCCAGGCATATTCCCAAGCAGGAATTAAGATCCTAAGTCAAAAGCAGCCAGCTCCGAAAGTGGCGCTCTCTCTCTCTGTCTCTTTCTCTCTCTCTCTGTGTCTCTGTCTCTGTCCTCCTCTCTTCTCTTTCTCTGTACACACACACACACACACACACACACACACAGTAGAGCACTTGCTTTGAAAGCAGGAGGCTCTGAATTAAAACTCTAGATCTGTCCCACCACCACCAATGAAATGGAAAAGTGTATCTTACTGTTTACTTTCCTCCTTGTGTTTATGGTGCTATTTTTAATAATTTTATTTCTTATTTTATAAATCACAGAATAACCAGGTTTTTTATTGTCAACAGTTATATTTAAAGGAAATTTTAGGTAAAAATGTTTTATTTACAGATTTACCATTTGAGGATTCTTGGTTATATGTGTAAAATAACTTTCTATTTGTCTGAAAAAAACTTGCATTATTGTATCTAGTGTGTAGATTTGCTGACAAGCCATTTTCCTACTTCAGCTTCCCAAGGAGCTCAGACAAGTATGTGTCCCTGCCTCTACTTACCAACTTTTGTTTGCTTGGGGGAGAAATGTTTTGACTTACTTTTCAAAAGATATTTTTGTTAAGTATACAGTTTCAGGTGACTTTTTACCCCTTTAACACTGTAAAGAGATTTCCATTGACTTTTGTCATTCCATTGACTTTCATAAGGATTGATTGATCATAAGGATTGATCAGTGAAAAACTTAGCCACATGTCAGACAAATGTTCAATTGTTTTAAAGGGATTTAATAACATGTAGCATTCAAAATGTAATATGCACAATGTCCAATATCTAAAAAAAAATACTGGCTGGTGGATTACGCCTGTAATCCTAGCTACTTAGGAGGTTGAGATCTGAGGATCACGGTTCAAAGCCAGCCCAGCAGGAAATACTAGTTACTTAGGAGACTGAACTTAGGAAGATCACAATTAATTTTCATATTGTCCCTGTGATGTATTATCCCCATTTAATGAGTGAGGACTAAGAGAATTGTTTTTTATTTTGTTTTTTTTTTTGGTAGTACTGGGGTTTGAACTATACTAGACAGATGCTCTACTACTTATTCCGTACCTGCAGCTCTAGGATAATTTTTTTTGATATTTGTTCTTCCATACACAAAAAATTATTTTCTGACTGCTTTTAGAATGTTTTTCTTTAACACTAGACTCAGTAATTAAATTATAATTTGTCTTAAAGTATGGTTTTTCTATGTGAATGATTATTCTGTTTGAGATTTGTTTAACATATTTATGGATTTATGATTATCATCAAATTTAGAACATTATTGGTTATATTTCTTCAGTCTTTTTCTTTTCTTTCCTTTTTCATTTAAAAAAATTTTTTTTATCAGTTGTGAGGCTTGAACTCTGGACCTGGGTGCTGTCCCTCAGCTCTTCAACTCAAGGCTAGCACTCTACTACTTGAGCCACAGCGCCACTTCTGGCTTTTTCTGCTTATGTGGCTGAGTAGCTAGGATTACAGGCATGAGCAATCAATGCCCAGCTCTTCAGTCTTTTTCTCTGTCATTTCTTTTGGAGCTACTTCTCTCCAGGATATCCTCAAACCACTAACCTTCAGATCACAGCCTCCTGAGTGGCTAGGATCATAGGATTGAGTCTCTGACTCCTAATTTGTCTCTTTTTATCCTTTTTGTCTTAAGCATTTTCATTTTAACTACTAATATATTCCACATTTCATCATCTGCCTATTTTCTGTATTGGTTTCTATTGACTGATTCCTTCCACCCTTGTGATTGATCTTATTTTTCTATCTTATCACATGCTAGTATTGTTGTTGTTATTGTTTTTCCCTCGGTTGTGGGGCTTGAACTCTATGGGGCCTGGGTGCTGTCCCTCAGATCTTCAGCTCAAGGCTAGTGCTGTACCACTTTGAGCCACAGCTCCACTTCTGGTTTTCTGGTGGTTAATTGGAGATAAGAATCTCATGGACTTTCCTGCTGGGGCTGGCTTTGAACCGTGATCCTCAGATCTCAACCTCCTAAGTAGCTAGGATTACAGGCGTAATCCACCAGCCAGTATTTTTTTTTAGATATTGGACAGTGTGCATATTACATTTTGAATGCTACATTTTATTAGATCCCTTTAAAACAATTGAACATTTGTCTGACATGTGGTTAAGTTTTTCACAAATCACATCAATCCTTATGAAAAGCTTGCTTTGAAGTCTGATACTACTTTTGTCTAGAATTGTACCTTTCACGTTTCTTAACCCTCTTTCATTCTTCCTATCTAGCTATCTCATCAACTATTTTTTATCTCCCCCTAATGTGTTATTTAATTCTTCCATTGAGCTTTAATTTCACCAGTTTGATTTTTTTCTTCCTAGAAGTTCTGTTTGCCTCTTTATATGTCTGTGTACTTTTCTTTTGTGCTGGTACTGGAACTGGAACTGGAACTCAGGGTCTAGGTGCTGTCCCATAACTTTTTCATTCAAGGCTAGTGTTCTACCACTTGAGCCACAGCTCTGCTTTCAGCTGTTTTTTCCTGGTTGGAAGGGAGATAAAATCTAAATGTCTTTTTCTGCCTGGACTGATTTTGAACCGTGAACCTCAGATTTCAGTCTCCCTAGTAGATAGGAATACAGGTGTGAGCCACTGACATCCAACACTTTATATACTTTTTATAGCTTCCTGTTCTTTGATCTGATGTAGACATTATGAGGCCTTGATTATTTTTCTCTACTTACATGACATTTATTTTATATTGTTTATGAAAATTCCAATGTCTGATATATTGTACAACACTGATTTTGCTAATTGTTGTAACTTTATTTTTTTACTTAGGGTTATAGGGAATGTTTAGTTTGTTTTTATTTTTATCTTCGCTTATTTTTTTTGTCAGTCATGAAGCTTGAACTTAGGGCTTGGGTCCTGTCCCTGAGCTAGTGCTCTACCGCTTGAGTCATAGCTCTGTTTCTGACTTTTTTAGTGATTAATTGGAGGTAAGAGTCTCACCGACTTTCCTGCTGGGACTGACTTTGAACTGCAGTCCTCACATCTCAGCCTCCTGTGTAGCTAGAATTACAGACATGAGCCACTAGCACCTGGCCTTATGTTTATTTTTATTGAATTTTGCTATGTAGAAATTCTTTGAGGGAAAGTTTGAAAGTTGCATTCCCTTATATGGATTTATATTTATACCATATTGTTGGAATTGCTTGAAAATATACCATCCCTAAGGATCACTGAGTGAAATTTCCTGCTTGAGAAGTCAAGATTAGTATGAATTTAGGTTTTACAACAATGTAAATATTATTTCTGGTTACAGATGTTCAGGGAGAAGCCCCGCTCCCTCTTATCCCTTGTTCTGAGGGCTTCACTACCTTAGAGTCAGAGTTCTAGTTGCAAGTCAGATACTTACCTTGGGTAAGCACTAGACTTTATAGCCTATTCTCCTTTGCCCTACAACACAAAAATCAGGAGTCCCACGATTATTTGGTACCTTTAGAGTAGATATAGACTATATATTAACTTCCAGGATTCCCACTGAGAATCTGTTTTTGTTCTCAATTATCCTTAATTCTTAAACTTCTCAGCAGTGTGATTTAAAATATTTTTTATATTTTATCTAGAATGTTTAGTTTTTTGGTAGGAGTTATTTTTAGGATATTTTGCCAATCCTGCTATTAGAAATATAAGTATTTCTTCCATTTCTTAGTATGCAAAACTATATATATGCACAAATATTAACATAAAATACATCTACTTGCCAGGCGCGGGTGGCTCACGCCTGTAATCCTAGCTACTCAGGAGGCTGAGATCTGAGGATCGCGGTTCAAAGCCAGCCCGGGCAGGGGAGACCGTGAGACTCCTATCTCCAATAAACCACCAGAAAACTGGAAGTGGCGCTGTAGCTCAAGTGGTAGAGCGCTCGCCTTGAGCTGAAGAGCTGAGGGACAGCGCCCAGGCCCAGAGTTCAAGCCCCACGACGGACAAAAAAAAAAAAAAATACATCTACTTTTCTTCTATGAGATCTATGAAATGTATATTTTGATATTTTTAAAACTCCCTAAGTAGAATTTATGTGCCAATTATAATTTGGTGGTTCTTTGATTTGTTTGTCTTTTATTCCCTCCTGGACTTTTGGATATTATCCAGCGCTTGGTTTCAGTTGGACTGGATTCAAAGAATACAGTTTGTGTTTGGGACTGGAAAAGGGGGAAAATGTTGTCTATGGCTCCTGGTCACACAGATAGGGTAAGTATCCTCTTTGGGATGTCTAATGAATATTGGACAAGAAAAGGCTAGAAGAAAGTTCAGGATACTGTGCTCTTCAGTGTCTTGTTTTTCCAGATATATCATAGTTAATTAAAATTTTACAATTTGTAAAAGATTATACCATTTTTGGGAAAGAGACAATTAGAGAACAATGTAGAATTCCTACTAATATTATGGAATTCTTTTACAAGCAATGAAAAGTTCTAAAACTGTAGTCATGCTTTTACAATTCAATGAGCATACTAAGAAACACTGAAATTTCAGAAGTTTTAGAGTATGTGAATCATATCTCAATGAAGCTGTGCAGTTATAAGTGCCTATAAAATCTTAGTATATATTATAGGACTCAGAAATATGATTCAGTGTGTAATTGTTAGCGTAAAACTTTTAACTCTGTTTGCGTTGGGGAAAACTGCAAGTTTTTTTCTTAGATTTTTTGAAATATAATTGATTTATAAAGGACTATTTAATATTTGATTCATACCATTTGATGTTTGGATGTATACATTCAAATATCAGTTTTTAAATTAAATGGTTTGTGTCTAAGATTTTTGCTTCACCACTAATATGTTGCATATGTACCAGTTAAGGTGAACCAATGTTTACCTTATATGCCTTGTGAGAATTTAAAATTATTTATTACTGTGGGCTAGAGATGTTATTATGTGGTGGAGTGTTTGTCTAGTATGTACAAGGCCCTGTGTTCAATCCCCAGAACTGAAAAATAAATATTAAATAAAAATTTCACAGTAAGTAAAAAAATAAATAAACAAATTAAGGTATAATTATAAACTTTTAGAGGCCTAACATTTTTTTCTCTAGAAGCATGTAAAAATACATATTCCTTATTCTAATTCCTAGACTATTAATGAAAATAGTTCATAAAAACTTAATTAAAAAATAATTCTTCCATAGCTTGTGCCACTTTTACAAACACAGGAAAACATATATCTTTATTCATTTATTTTTGTCGGTCGTGGGGCTTGAACTCTGGGCCTGGGCACTGTCCCTCAGCTCTTCAGCTCAAGGCGAGCGCTCTACCACTTGAGCTACAGCGC